CTAAATCCATGTCATAAAACATTATAAAAAGAAATTTACAAATTTTCCGAAAGGTTCTTTGCATAAATATCAGTCATTTTATTTATAAAGCGTCAGCTTTATCTACTGGATTCAAAGCTGAGATACAAAAAGTTTACGTTTTCTTATTATAATTTCCTTACAGTAGAATGTAAAAAGGACTATTACGAAAGATGTTTTGTTAGCCAATGATAGAAAAATTGGTTATTTAAATTCGTTTAAAGGTTTATGGTTAGGATTTTAGTGTATTCTTTTAATTTATGTTCGTCGAACTCATGCTATTTTTATATGAAACGATACTACAACCATCCACAAAGAAAACAATATAAAAGACAGGAGGTTAACTTGACATCCTGAGCATGAAATTACATGCAGTTTTTCTGTAAATTATAAATATAGAATTAAATGCAGGTGAATACGCTGATATCTACTTTCCCTACATAGTGAGCTTGTTCAGCTCGAATGTCCGAAATACGGTGAAACGTACGTTCTTGATTATAACGCCATTTACATTGCCATTCATCGATGGAAATTGATATTAAGTTGTTATTCTACTAATAAAATTAATAAAAATAACACTTATCTTCAGTGACAGAGGGCATTCACTTCACATAACTGAAGTGTATTCAGGTATACTAGGTAATGGCCGAAATAATAACTCGAATCTTGTTCATTCATACGTCGATAATCAAGCACTCAAAATTGTGTATAACTGAGGAATTTTAAAACCCATTTATATCGAAAATGAACATTCTTTCAAATCAATGAAGTAAACTGGAGAAATTCTCGCTACCGCGTCACTTAACTCAAAGTAATTTAAGTTTCATATCTTCGGTTAAATAAACAATTTGAATTTATATGAAGAAAGGTATCACCTGTATTTCACAGCCCCCAAATGCCCTGGTACGGCCGAGAGTCCGCTCTCCCACTCGAAATGCTCTCACATGGCCATGCGTATATAGCCTATGCCAGGGAAGTCCTACTCACTGCCTTCTCGTGGCGGGGGTTTTTTACGAAAATGAGAGGACGAAAAGCGAATGTCTGGCGCTATAACCGGACCCCAAACCAATGGTGCACATGGGCTCCAGTATCCTGAAGGAACAAATGGCGTATGAACCAATCGTTGGTCACCGGCTACCATGGGACTGCATCTCCTCACGATGTTCCACTGCCTTGTCGGTCAGACGTCCAGGTCGAAGGCTAGGGGTGTGGCCCCCTAAGAAAACCACCTGCTTCGGTTTGGGCACCCGAGCAGTATCACAACCCTCACACAAATCAATTGAGATTCGTGTGGCGCATGTGTAGTTGGTGCCTCCCTGTACCTATACTTATGTGTTAAAATAAATAAATCTTTTTCACAACAATGAAATGTATTACAAGTATATCAAAACTGATAATGAAGACAGCACACATTAAGAAACAGTAACACTTTAAGATACTGAGATTCGAGGTGCATTTTAAGCGACTGCTTCAAGCAAAATGAGAAAATTAATGTTTTGTATCGACCAACTTTCCGAAGATGTCCTAAGTCATAATTTGATAATTATTGAGGGCATTTTTGAGAAATAAGACTTGATATGCCCCAAAGCTAATGCCATCATTTAGGATCCACTACAACTCAGAAATTATTTGAAAGCTGTAAATTCAAATATGCGGTTTCCATTTATGCTGAGATAATGATCGACATCAATTAACTGCCTGAATTCGAATTATTTGAAATATACAACCGATTGAATGGTAAGCTTAATGATTGTCTCAGGATATTTTTAAAACACGGCGGTGAACGATGAGTAGTTAGTGCTTATACATTCGACTGATTCAATAGCACATAGCTATTCACATGAATTAAATATTTATTTAAGCATAACCTCCAGTTGATGTTTAAAATAGAGAAAAATGTTACTTGAAATATTATACACACAATCGCTAGTTCGGTTAGCAACACCTTAATTAACTGTCTGATAATTCAGGGTATTTTACTGAAGATAACAACGTTGTCTGAACTTAACTGTAAAGTACATAAAGCCAGAAGGATATAAATATCACCCGGTTGAAAACTCGTGGAAAATATTGTGATCGATCAATCAACTAAATAACGTAAGGCTCAGAACAATATCCAACTAGGTATCCGCTCTTGTATCCTCCAAAATATCATCAACCCGTACTAAACGATTATTAAACTTTATTCGGACGTTGATCATCTCTGAAGTTTCAACTGCAATTATTCCGCTTACAAATCTTGTAAAACTTTCCAAAATATTTAGGTTACGATTTCTGATTAAATTTCCTTAGTAAGGTTACATTAAATGAAACACCTAATACCGAAAATGCAACAGCACAAAAAATGTAAGCTGAAATCGTAATGTTAGTATGGATGATATTCCCATAACAAACAGCATCCAGTTGTCGTGATGCTTAAAAATTCGAATGTAATAAAATGAGGAAAGTTTTAAAGTAAGCTATCGATGTCTTTGTAAGCAGATGATTCGTAAACAAGATTGTGATTAATAGTATAAATAATTAGTACAAAAAGAATGTCTACTCAGAAAAACAATTATTGCTGACTTTAACACCAAAGAGAAACAACAACAATATGCAACTCAAATACTAGGAACAATAAAAATATTATAGCTTGAGTAAATACAGTAATTCCTAAAACGTTTATATCATAGGTTGAGATGATCATTTAACTTCTTGGTACCAAGTGCCAATTTTTGTGCTTCAAACAACCTGGACTGACTTAGTAAAGAGTACAATTTTGATAATCTTGAGATCAAAGTAACGAAAAACGAGTTTGAAAGTGTTTAAAAAAAACGCACAACGACCGTCTATGTACATAAGCAAACGAACTTCGTCAGCGGGAAGAAAAGCCTAATAAATTAATACATGGAATTAATTCCAGAAGTAATTTGGATATTTATGAAAGTCCTTGGTGGTAATTAGCTAAATATATTTGAAATATTAGAATAAGTGTGGCAAATTAATTTTCTTCAGTATAAACGTGAATAATGATATATGGGAGTGATACTCCATATATTATTATATGGTGGAATGTCTCTTACAGAAACCTGGAAAAGTAATCAAGTAGATTAGTAAGAGGCTAAGATAAAACTGATTAAAGCTGAATAAATATAAATTCCAAAAATACTTCCCTTTAGTTTATTTGTCTCGGTTCTTTAGATTGATAATCTAACGATGGGCAATAGAAATCACACATCAAGACGAATGTTTACAGGACTTCTCATTCCTAATACATTTTTGAAGGCAAACGACCACTGAAGGTCATGTGTGAAAAGAGCTTTGTTACTATTAGAACCCGGTAGTTAACGGCACAATTTTGGCGTCAGACCATAGGACATGCTGTGAAAATAAGTACCATTCACCATTTTATGAAATCATTCTTACACATGACTAAAGACAGTGAGCAAAAGTGTATTTCGATAGATTTAAAACAATTACATCTTAAATCATTCAGATCACACCTGTAATAGTTATGTAAATGTCATTTACTCACAAACATAGAAATCGGCCACATGTACGCAGGTTCAGGTCGCCAAACTTTAGCACAGCGAGATAAAACGATCAACATAAATCCTAGAGTTGTAGAAATAGGAACGGCATCAAAAGACTAAGTGAGAAAAATCATAAGACTTTGGGACTAAAGTAATGCATAGTGAATGGACCTACGACATTGTGGACGATTTCCATCGTCCCATCGAGGTAAGTGGTGACTGGGTATATGAAACATATGCCCTAACCACCTCAGTGAGGATTCACTACCTGATCAACTAATTAGTCATTTTTACCTATTACCCTATACCTAACCACACATTCACTCACTCGGTGATAATAACATAAACCAGCAGTCTTTCAATGATATCTATAATGAAATTCTAATGACCTACAAATATCCTATGCTGAAATTAACATGTTTCACATTCATAGAGTAGAATATGAATTGCTGCGCAGTAAACTCATAATTTGGTTGTCAGACATACAGCTCGTTTACGTCACAAGCGACGCACGTTGACGAGAACGGAGTTTCTTGATCCGTATCGAGATGTCATCAGAAACTAGCACGCCAGGGCTGATGACACTTTCATCATTAGTGAAATGGTCAACTTACTCAACCACTTCCCCTCTGGTTCAGGTGTTAACGTAGACCTGTCCGGGAGCAAACTTTTGCATTTAGAGGGAATATACATTTCAAACATACTTGTACTGTTGTTCAAGGCCATCAGTAAACCTTGTATAGTGATAGTGTCTTCACTAATCAAAACTATATCATCTAAGTATTGCAAGACAGAAAATGAATTTTCTTACATACTTCACTACGATCTGAAGCATAAACTTATTTGTTGATAGTTTGAATGTCTAAATATTTATCAATGTTGTGTGGAGATAAAAACCATTAAAAACGATCAATTACACGGAAATAATTACAGACAAAGATGCTGTAATGATCAGTTAGTGAACATGCATAATGTCAAACTTTAGAGAAATATTGATCATCCCAGAAACCTGAGATTAACAGCAACATGCATTAAGTAGCTAGAAGAAACACGATTAAAAGGGACGAGTTTAATTTTTAAAATAATAAAAGTGATAATAGCACCGAAGACTTGAATGTGAAACTACGTACTAATAAGTACTATTTTTCTAGCTTATATGTACAAATACCTACAAAACAGATAGGTGTCACGTCGAATTTTCGAGCATATGGTTGGAATCAGAGTCGCCTATGATACAAACAGATACAAGATGTTACTCAATCTAAATATTACCATCATTTTTGTGCTTAAAGTTTGAGAAAGTACTCCCCCATATACTAAAACTAAACACAACTATTGTTGGATCTTACATTAATGCCTGTTGAAATTGCAAGCTGTCATATCAGCGGTGGGAGAATATAAAGGATTGAAAACAAATGAACATTAGAAATACAAACAACAAAGCAAACTACAACGAAAGTAGCTCACAGTTAAATGTATCTCTGAGAAACACTTATCTTCATCAAACCAACCACATTTACAGAAACAAATGATAAAAATAAATGTTGGCAGCTGACTATGGACCGAGGGGAAAGTGATCTTATCCATTTGTTTATACTAAGATAAATGGATTCTCAAATTTTAGACACAGACCAATTCCTTCCAAGTCGCTAATACAAGACAATGAATTTTGCAATAGCCACGATTTACTGAACGACAACAATTGAAATGACAATATTTCAAAAAATTGCAGAAAAATATTTTTTTAAACAAACAGTATGTCAAAGTTATCGCAAAGCATCAGAAAATATTCTATCTTCCTATTTACAAAATGCATGTAAGTGGAAAAATATTTACAAAAAATCAGGAGTAGAGAGCTGTTTATTCATTAAATTTAAAGGAACAAGAATCTAAGGAAAGTGAACCTCCGCTATAAGAACCTCTCTTCTTTTTAGTTTTCTCTTGTTTGAATGCTTTTCCAGTGGTAAACTTGAAATCGCGATTCGCTTTTTCACCCCACGATCCACGTGCATTCCGCTGAACGAAAGATTCGAAAACAAAAACGTTATCCAAAGCAGTAGTTTAAAAGTGATGAAGAAAATTTTTTATCTATAAAATTTATGTTGTTGCAACTGAGTAACTAACTAGAATTCTGCACACTGCTTTGAGCCAGACATCAATTGATGGGTCAGTCAGCTGCAACGTAGGACCAGGCACGTATATGCATCGGTCCAAGTTGCCATACCGCATTAGCACAACAAGATGAACACCGGATTCATAGGAGTAGTTAATTCAGTGGTGGTAATATATAGAAGAAAGATTGTGTATAAGGAGATAGTAAAGGAAGAAAGAATTAGTTCCTAGACAGATATGAAGCGATTTTAATCTATTAATTTAAGGAAGACAGAGAGTGTATACACCGACGCCATTGTGATCGATTCTGAGCCATGTCACCAAGAGTCTCCAACCATTGGTTACGATAGTCACGCGGACCCCAACCAGGCAGTCTGAATCTCCCAAAATGGCTCAGACCAGAAGTTAGTGACTTCAAGCACTGATGCCACGTTTTGGTTTGGCCGCCCCTAACTTTCTTCCAATTATCCCCTGCACTAGTCAGCATTGCGCGTCGTGGTAATCGGTGTTCAGGCATACGCAACACGTGACCCAACCATCTCAGTCGATGAAGATTCATAACCTCATCAACTGATTTAAGATCATTCCCTAATACTCTGCGTTTAACCTCACTACTACTTACCCGGTGATCCCAGCAGATACCCGCAATATTTCTAAGGCACCTGTGGTCAAATACTAGTAACTTACGAATATCTTCCACTCTTAAAGGCCATGTTTCGCAGCCATATAGAAGGACGGAACGAACTGCCGCGCAGTATACTCGTCCCTTAATTGATAGACGGATATCTCGCCTTCGCCATAGATGACGTAAGTTGGCAAAGGCCAAGCGAGCTTTTCGAATCCGTGCTGAGATTTCGTCAGACACCAACCCATTAGGGCTGATCAGACTTCCAAGTGAAGTTGTCAACGCGTTCGACAACTTCACTCCCTATCCTTAGTTCAGGTGTTGACGCAGACCAGTTCTGAAGCAACAACTTGCATTTAGATGGAGAGGAACGCATCCCAAATATCCTGGCATTGTTGTTCAGTGCTACCAAAAGATTCTTCATTTTATCGGAATCTTTACCAAACAGAACTATGTCATCTGCGTATTCTAAGTCAATAAGTGGACCTCCTGGTAGGAGATCAATACCCGAGAAGTCAGTCGATGAGAGCGTTATTTCCATCAGGATGTCTATGATAAAGTTAAACAAAAAAGGAGAAAGTGGACAGCCTTGACGGACGCCACTTGAGGTTGCAAAAGCAGATGACAGTTCGCCATAGGCTCTGACCCGACTAGTAGTGTTCGAGTAAAGAGCCTTCACAAGGTTTATGTACTTCTGAGGTACGCCTTTCAATGACAGACACTGCCACAGTACCTCTCGGTCAACAGAGTCAAACGCTGCTTTTAAGTCAAGGAATACCACCATTGTCGGACGCCGATAAGTATGCCTGTGTTCTAGAACCTGACGAATGGTGAATATGTGGTCGATGCAGCCACGACCAGGTCTGAAGCCAGCCTGATTTTCACGTGTTTGCAGTTCACGAGTCTTAGTTAGGCGTCCGAAAATTATCGAAGCTAGTATTTTAGATACTATATTAGTCAAACTAATCCCTCTGTGGTTGTCACAGGATGATTTTGACCCTTTCTTAAATATTGGGACGATAAGTGATTGTGACCAGTTAGATGGAATAACGTCTAACTCCCAGATTTTAGCTAAAATATTAGTCAACCTAATCGCTAAGACTAGACCACCATCCTTAAAGACCTCTGGGGCCAATCCATCTGGACCAGCTGCCCTTCCTCGTTTCAGATTAGCTATAGCCTTTTGAACTTCAGCTAGAGTTGGGGGACCTACTTCAATGTTCCATTCACACTGTCTGGGAATAGAGGGTAGTTGTAGAGTAGCTGAGGGCCAGCTAAACTGCTCCTTAAAGTGTTCCGCCCATCGTTCTAAGCGTCTGGACTGGGAGCAGATGAGAGTGTCGTCTTTTTCCGAAATGGTCTGACTTACACTTGATTTATTAATTCCAGTTTCTTTTATTAGTCTGTAGAGTTGTCTTGTGTTCCCTATAGCCGCCGCCTTTTCCATCTCTTTTGCTTTCGTTGCCCACCACTGCTCACGATCATTCTAGTAAATACTTAAGCAAAATGAGTCGAAGCTAAGAACGAACCGAAAACAGAACAGATAAATATTGAGCACATAAGCCACTGAGCTAGTTTGTTGGATGACAACGAAATGGTTTGTTTACATAAACTTTAAGTAGTGAATCATGAGTTTGAAATCTACTTCATCTCTTTTTAAAAAAAACTCGAAGCATTCTTCGTTCCTTTTTGATACACTGTGACTTAAAGCCTTTTACATGAAACTCAACAAGATTACAGAAATGTGGTAATGATAGAAAATTTTTGGAAGTCGATATGGCGAGATATTTAATGAATTCTTAATTAATTAGCATTGATCTGAATAACAACCATATAAACGACTAATATAAAAATTAGGATCCAATTTAATTTATTCTCAGTATCACTAGGTAATAAGTTTATTATTTATAGGTTATTAATTATCTCTATATGCAATAATATCAGATTAAAGAAACTAATGATCTGAAATCATGTTACAGTACATTTTTATATTTCCAGTTTAACCATTAAAAGAATGATCATCATAGGTTTCATTACTGTGTAGCTAGCTAGATATACACTTACCTCAAAGACTTTATACAATAATTCGAAGAAACTAATGTCGAACAAACAGTTTTCGAAACAAGCAGAGATCAACATCTAGACAGAGAAACATCTATCACGCTTAATCGTGAAGACGGGATTCTCTCTCGAGAATATTTATAAGGACATAATACATTATTTATTGATGTGAACGAATAGTAAAGGCGGTTATAAAATTGCAATAAAGTGAATCAACGACAAAACAAAAAAAGAGCAAAATATCGAATTACCTTCGCCTCAAAGGAATTGTCCCGCAGATTGGGATGGACAAACACATCCTTCTCATCAACACGACGGAAAGGTCCACAAGATTTAGTGCAAGAAGATTTAGTTGCAGATACGACATTATCAGCAAAAGAACCAAGTGAATTACTACTTTTTACATGACTAGAACGCACAAAAGAATAACGACGTTTACGATTTGAAGATTGTTTCAAGAAATCACAAGGTGCATCACCAGAACCATTAGAAAAAACAGACGTACCAACAGCTATCGAACCACCAGCAACTACACCACTAACAGCCTTGCTCACAGATGGAGACGCCTTCACCAACGCAGGCTTCTTACTCGCCGGCTGCTCGTCATCACTAGAATCAGAATCCGAGCTCGACGGAGCGGTCGCAACTTTCTTCTTCTGCACAGACTGAGCAGCACCTTGTGGGACAACTCCCATCCCCGTCTTAACACCACTACCAACTACACCAACAGGCTTCTTCGCTGATCCTGCATTACCCTCATCACTCGAATCCGAGTCCGAACTCGACGACGCAGGCTTCCCGACCACCTTCTTACCACCAGCAACTACACCACTAACAGCCTTGCCCACAGATGGAGACGCCTTCACCAACACAGGCTTCTTACTCGCCGGCTGCTCGTCATCACTAGAATCAGAATCCGAGCTCGACGGAGCGGTCGCAACTTTCTTCTTCTGCACAGACTGAGCAGCACCTTGTGGGACAACTCCCATCCCCGTCTTAACACCACTACCAACTACACCAACAGGCTTCTTCGCTGATCCTGCATTACCCTCATCACTCGAATCCGAGTCCGAACTCGACGACGCAGGCTTCCCGACCACCTTCTTACCACCAGCAACTACACCACTAACAGCCTTGCCCACAGATGGAGACGCCTTCACCAACGCAGGCTTCTTACTCGCCGGCTGCTCGTCATCACTAGAATCAGAATCCGAGCTCGACGGAGCGGCCGCAACTTTCTTCTTCTGCACAGACTGAGCAGCACCTTGTGGGACAACTCCCATCCCCGTCTTAACACCACTACCAACTACACCAACAGGCTTCTTCGCTGATCCTGCATTACCCTCATCACTCGAATCCGAGTCCGAACTCGACGACGCAGGCTTCCCGACCACCTTCTTACCACCAGCAACTACACCACTAACAGCCTTACCCACAGATGGAGACGCCTTCACCAACACAGGCTTCTTACTCGCCGGCTGCTCGTCATCACTAGAATCAGAATCCGAGCTCGACGGAGCGGCCGCAACTTTCTTCTTCTGCACAGACTGAGCAGCACCTTGTGGGACAACTCCCATCCCCGTCTTAACACCACTACCAACTACACCAACAGGCTTCTTCGCTGATCCTGCATTACCCTCATCACTCGAATCCGAGTCCGAACTCGACGACGCAGGCTTCCCGACCACCTTCTTACCACCAGCAACTACACCACTAACAGCCTTGCCCACAGATGGAGACGCCTTCACCAACACAGGCTTCTTACTCGCCGGCTGCTCGTCATCACTAGAATCAGAATCCGAGCTCGACGGAGCGGTCGCAACTTTCTTCTTCTGCACAGACTGAGCAGCACCTTGTGGGACAACTCCCATCCCCGTCTTAACACCACTACCAACTACACCAACAGGCTTCTTCGCTGATCCTGCATTACCCTCATCACTCGAATCCGAGTCCGAACTCGACGACGCAGGCTTCCCGACCACCTTCTTACCACCAGCAACTACACCACTAACAGCCTTACCCACAGATGGAGACGCCTTCACCAACACAGGCTTCTTACTCGCCGGCTGCTCGTCATCACTAGAATCAGAATCCGAGCTCGACGGAGCGGCCGCAACTTTCTTCTTCTGCACAGACTGAGCAGCACCTTGTGGGACAACTCCCATCCCCGTCTTAACACCACTACCAACTACACCAACAGGCTTCTTCGCTGATCCTGCATTACCCTCAACACTCGAATCCGAGTCCGAACTCGACGACGCAGGCTTCCCGACCACCTTCTTACCACCAGCAACTACACCACTAACAGCCTTGCTCACAGATGGAGACGCCTTCACCAACGCAGGCTTCTTACTCGCCGGCTGCTCGTCATCACTAGAATCAGAATCCGAGCTCGACGGAGCGGCCGCAACTTTCTTCTTCTGCACAGACTGAGCAGCACCTTGTGGGACAACTCCCATCCCCGTCTTAACACCACTACCAACTACACCAACAGGCTTCTTCGCTGATCCTGCATTACCCTCATCACTCGAATCCGAGTCCGAACTCGACGACGCAGGCTTCCCGACCACCTTCTTACCACCAGCAACTACACCACTAACAGCCTTGCCCACAGATGGAGACGCCTTCACCAACGCAGGCTTCTTACTCGCCGGCTGCTCGTCATCACTAGAATCAGAATCCGAGCTCGACGGAGCGGCCGCAACTTTCTTCTTCTGCACAGACTGAGCAGCACCTTGTGGGACAACTCCCATCCCCGTCTTAACACCACTACCAACTACACCAACAGGCTTCTTCGCTGATCCTGCATTACCCTCAACACTCGAATCCGAGTCCGAACTCGACGACGCAGGCTTCCCGACCACCTTCTTACCACCAGCAACTACACCACTAACAGCCTTGCCCACAGATGGAGACGCCTTCACCAACGCAGGCTTCTTACTCGCCGGCTGCTCGTCATCACTAGAATCAGAATCCGAGCTCGACGGAGCGGTCGCAACTTTCTTCTTCTGCACAGACTGAGCAGCACCTTGTGGGACAACTCCCATCCCCGTCTTAACACCACTACCAACTACACCAACAGGCTTCTTCGCTGATCCTGCATTACCCTCATCACTCGAATCCGAGTCCGAACTCGACGACGCAGGCTTCCCGACCACCTTCTTACCACCAGCAACTACACCACTAACAGCCTTGCCCACAGATGGAGACGCCTTCACCAACGCAGGCTTCTTACTCGCCGGCTGCTCGTCATCACTAGAATCAGAATCCGAGCTCGACGGAGCGGCCGCAACTTTCTTCTTCTGCACAGACTGAGCAGCACCTTGTGGGACAACTCCCATCCCCGTCTTAACACCACTACCAACTACACCAACAGGCTTCTTCGCTGATCCTGCATTACCCTCATCACTCGAATCCGAGTCCGAACTCGACGACGCAGGCTTCCCGACCACCTTCTTACCACCAGCAACTACACCACTAACAGCCTTAGCCCACAGATGGAGACGCCTTCACCAACACAGGCTTCTTACTCGCCGGCTGCTCGTCATCACTAGAATCAGAATCCGAGCTCGACGGAGCGGCCGCAACTTTCTTCTTCTGCACAGACTGAGCAGCACCTTGTGGGACAACTCCCATCCCCGTCTTAACACCACTACCAACTACACCAACAGGCTTCTTCGCTGATCCTGCATTACCCTCATCACTCGAATCCGAGTCCGAACTCGACGACGCAGGCTTCCCGACCACCTTCTTACCACCAGCAACTACACCACTAACAGCCTTGCCCACAGATGGAGACGCCTTCACCAACACAGGCTTCTTACTCGCCGGCTGCTCGTCATCACTAGAATCAGAATCCGAGCTCGACGGAGCGGCCGCAACTTTCTTCTTCTGCACAGACTGAGCAGCACCTTGTGGGACAACTCCCATCCCCGTCTTAACACCACTACCAACTACACCAACAGGCTTCTTCGCTGATCCTGCATTACCCTCATCACTCGAATCCGAGTCCGAACTCGACGACGCAGGCTTCCCGACCACCTTCTTACCACCAGCAACTACACCACTAACAGCCTTGCCCACAGATGGAGACGCCTTCACCAACGCAGGCTTCTTACTCGCCGGCTGCTCGTCATCACTAGAATCAGAATCCGAGCTCGACGGAGCGGCCGCAACTTTCTTCTTCTGCACAGACTGAGCAGCACCTTGTGGGACAACTCCCATCCCCGTCTTAACACCACTACCAACTACACCAACAGGCTTCTTCGCTGATCCTGCATTACCCTCATCACTCGAATCCGAGTCCGAACTCGACGACGCAGGCTTCCCGACCACCTTCTTACCACCAGCAACTACACCACTAACAGCCTTGCCCACAGATGGAGACGCCTTCACCAACGCAGGCTTCTTACTCGCCGGCTGCTCGTCATCACTAGAATCAGAATCCGAGCTCGACGGAGCGGCCGCAACTTTCTTCTTCTGCACAGACTGAGCAGCACCTTGTGGGACAACTCCCATCCCCGTCTTAACACCACTACCAACTACACCAACAGGCTTCTTCGCTGATCCTGCATTACCCTCATCACTCGAATCCGAGTCCGAACTCGACGACGCAGGCTTCCCGACCACCTTCTTACCACCAGCAACTACACCACTAACAGCCTTGCCCACAGATGGAGACGCCTTCACCAACGCAGGCTTCTTACTCGCCGGCTGCTCGTCATCACTAGAATCAGAATCCGAGCTCGACGGAGCGGCCGCAACTTTCTTCTTCTGCACAGACTGAGCAGCACCTTGTGGGACAACTCCCATCCCCGTCTTAACACCACTACCAACTACACCAACAGGCTTCTTCGCTGATCCTGCATTACCCTCATCACTCGAATCCGAGTCCGAACTCGACGACGCAGGCTTCCCGACCACCTTCTTACCACCAGCAACTACACCACTAACAGCCTTGCCCACAGATGGAGACGCCTTCACCAACGCAGGCTTCTTACTCGCCGGCTGCTCGTCATCACTAGAATCAGAATCCGAGCTCGACGGAGCGGCCGCAACTTTCTTCTTCTGCACAGACTGAGCAGCACCTTGTGGGACAACTCCCATCCCCGTCTTAACACCACTACCAACTACACCAACAGGCTTCTTCGCTGATCCTGCATTACCCTCATCACTCGAATCCGAGTCCGAACTCGACGACGCAGGCTTCCCGACCACCTTCTTACCACCAGCAACTACACCACTAACAGCCTTGCCCACAGATGGAGACGCCTTCACCAACGCAGGCTTCTTACTCGCCGGCTGCTCGTCATCACTAGAATCAGAATCCGAGCTCGACGGAGCGGCCGCAACTTTCTTCTTCTGCACAGACTGAGCAGCACCTTGTGGGACAACTCCCATCCCCGTCTTAACACCACTACCAACTACACCAACAGGCTTCTTCGCTGATCCTGCATTACCCTCATCACTCGAATCCGAGTCCGAACTCGACGACGCAGGCTTCCCGACCACCTTCTTACCACCAGCAACTACACCACTAACAGCCTTGTCCACAGATGGAGACGCCTTCACCAACGCAGGCTTCTTACTCGCCGGCTGCTCGTCATCACTAGAATCAGAATCCGAGCTCGACGGAGCGGCCGCAACTTTCTTCTTCTGCACAGACTGAGCAGCACCTTGTGGGACAACTCCCATCCCCGTCTTAACACCACTACCAACTACACCAACAGGCTTCTTCGCTGATCCTGCATTACCCTCATCACTCGAATCCGAGTCCGAACTCGACGACGCAGGCTTCCCGACCACCTTCTTACCACCAGCAACTACACCACTAACAGCCTTGCCCACAGATGGAGACGCCTTCACCAACGCAGGCTTCTTACTCGCCGGCTGCTCGTCATCACTAGAATCAGAATCCGAGCTCGACGGAGCGGTCCGCAACTTTCTTCTTCTGCACAGACTGAGCAGCACCTTGTGGGACAACTCCCATCCCCGTCTTAACACCACTACCAACTACACCAACAGGCTTCTTCGCTGATCCTGCATTACCCTCATCACTCGAATCCGAGTCCGAACTCGACGACGCAGGCTTCCCGACCACCTTCTTACCACCAGCAACTACACCACTAACAGCCTTGCTCACAGATGGAGACGCCTTCACCAACGCAGGCTTCTTACTCGCCGGCTGCTCGTCATCACTAGAATCAGAATCCGAGCTCGACGGAGCGGCCGCAACTTTCTTCTTCTGCACAGACTGAGCAGCACCTTGTGGGACAACTCCCATCCCCGTCTTAACACCACTACCAACTACACCAACAGGCTTCTTCGCTGATCCTGCATTACCCTCATCACTCGAATCCGAGTCCGAACTCGACGACGCAGGCTTCCCGACCACCTTCTTACCACCAGCAACTACACCACTAACAGCCTTGCCCACAGATGGAGACGCCTTCACCAACGCAGGCTTCTTACTCGCCGGCTGCTCGTCATCACTAGAATCAGAATCCGAGCTCGACGGAGCGGCCGCAACTTTCTTCTTCTGCACAGACTGAGCAGCACCTTGTGGGACAACTCCCATCCCCGTCTTAACACCACTACCAACTACACCAACAGGCTTCTTCGCTGATCCTGCATTACCCTCATCACTCGAATCCGAGTCCGAACTCGACGACGCAGGCTTCCCGACCACCTTCTTACCACCAGCAACTACACCACTAACAGCCTTGCCCACAGATGGAGACGCCTTCACCAACGCAGGCTTCTTACTCGCCGGCTGCTCGTCATCACTAGAATCAGAATCCGAGCTCGACGGAGCGGTCGCAACTTTCTTCTTCTGCACAGACTGAGCAGCACCTTGTGGGACAACTCCCATCCCCGTCTTAACACCACTACCAACTACACCAACAGGCTTCTTCGCTGATCCTGCATTACCCTCATCACTCGAATCCGAGTCCGAACTCGACGACGCAGGCTTCCCGACCACCTTCTTACCACCAGCAACTACACCACTAACAGCCTTGCCCACAGATGGAGACGCCTTCACCAACGCAGGCCTCTTACTCGCCGGCTGCTCGTCATCACTAGAATCAGAATCCGAGCTCGACGGAGCGGCCGCAACTTTCTTCTTCTGCACAGACTGAGCAGCACCTTGTGGGACAACTCCCATCCCCGTCTTAACACCACTACCAACTACACCAACAGGCTTCTTCGCTGATCCTGCATTACCCTCATCACTCGAATCCGAGTCCGAACTCGACGACGCAGGCTTCCCGACCACCTTCTTACCACCAGCAACTACACCACTAACAGCCTTGCCCACAGATGGAGACGCCTTCACCAACGCAGGCCTCTTACTCGCCGGCTGCTCGTCATCACTAGAATCAGAATCCGAGCTCGACGGAGCGGCCGCAACTTTCTTCTTCTGCACAGACTGAGCAGCACCTTGTGGGACAACTCCCATCCCCGTCTTAACACCACTACCAACTACACCAACAGGCTTCTTCGCTGATCCTGCATTACCCTCATCACTCGAATCCGAGTCCGAACTCGACGACGCAGGCTTCCCGACCACCTTCTTACCACCAGCAACTACACCACTAACAGCCTTGCCCACAGATGGAGACGCCTTCACCAACGCAGGCTTCTTACTCGCCGGCTGCTCGTCATCACTAGAATCAGAATCCGAGCTCGACGGAGCGGCCGCAACTTTCTTCTTCTGCACAGACTGAGCAGCACCTTGTGGGACAACTCCCATCCCCGTCTTAACACCACTACCAACTACACCAACAGGCTTCTTCGCTGATCCTGCATTACCCTCATCACTCGAATCCGAGTCCGAACTCGACGACGCAGGCTTCCCGACCACCTTCTTACCACCAGCAACTACACCACTAACAGCCTTGCCCACAGATGGAGACGCCTTCACCAACGCAGGCTTCTTACTCGCCGGCTGCTCGTCATCACTAGAATCAGAATCCGAGCTCGACGGAGCGGCCGCAACTTTCTTCTTCTGCACAGACTGAGCAGCACCTTGTGGGACAACTCCCATCCCCGTCTTAACACCACTACCAACTACACCAACAGGCTTCTTCGCTGATCCTGCATTACCCTCATCACTCGAATCCGAGTCCGAACTCGACGACGCAGGCTTCCCGACCACCTTCTTACCACCAGCAACTACACCACTAACAGCCTTGTTCACAGATGGAGACGCCTTCACCAACGCAGGCTTCTTACTCGCCGGCTGCTCGTCATCACTAGAATCAGAATCCGAGCTCGACGGAGCGGCCGCAACTTTCTTCTTCTGCACAGACTGAGCAGCACCTTGTGGGACAACTCCCATCCCCGTCTTAACACCACTACCAACTACACCAACAGGCTTCTTCGCTGATCCTGCATTACCCTCATCACTCGAATCCGAGTCCGAACTCGACGACGCAGGCTTCCCGACCACCTTCTTACCACCAGCAACTACACCACTAACAGCCTTGCCCACAGATGGAGACGCCTTCACCAACGCAGGCTTCTTACTCGCCGGCTGCTCGTCATCACTAGAATCAGAATCCGAGCTCGACGGAGCGGCCGCAACTTTCTTCTTCTGCACAGACTGAGCAGCACCTTGTGGGACAACTCCCATCCCCGTCTTAACACCACTACCAACTACACCAACAGGCTTCTTCGCTGATCCTGCATTACCCTCATCACTCGAATCCGAGTCCGAACTCGACGACGCAGGCTTCCCGACCACCTTCTTACCACCAGCAACTACACCACTAACAGCCTTGCCCACAGATGGAGACGCCTTCACCAACGCAGGCTTCTTACTCGCCGGCTGCTCGTCATCACTAGAATCAGAATCCGAGCTCGACGGAGCGGCCGCAACTTTCTTCTTCTGCACAGACTGAGCAGCACCTTGTGGGACAACTCCCATCCCCGTCTTAACACCACTACCAACTACACCAACAGGCTTCTTCGCTGATCCTGCATTACCCTCATCACTCGAATCCGAGTCCGAACTCGACGACGCAGGCTTCCCGACCACCTTCTTACCACCAGCAACTACACCACTAACAGCCTTGCCCACAGATGGAGACGCCTTCACCAACGCAGGCTTCTTACTCGCCGGCTGCTCGTCATCACTAGAATCAGAATCCGAGCTCGACGGAGCGGCCGCAACTTTCTTCTTCTGCACAGACTGAGCAGCACCTTGTGGGACAACTCCCATCCCCGTCTTAACACCACTACCAACTACACCAACAGGCTTCTTCGCTGATCCTGCATTACCCTCATCACTCGAATCCGAGTCCGAACTCGACGACGCAGGCTTCCCGACCACCTTCTTACCACCAGCAACTACACCACTAACAGCCTTGCCCACAGATGGAGACGCCTTCACCAACGCAGGCTTCTTACTCGCCGGCTGCTCGTCATCACTAGAATCAGAATCCGAGCTCGACGGAGCGGCCGCAACTTTCTTCTTCTGCACAGACTGAGCAGCACCTTGTGGGACAACTCCCATCCCCGTCTTAACACCACTACCAACTACACCAACAGGCTTCTTCGCTGATCCTGCATTACCCTCATCACTCGAATCCGAGTCCGAACTCGACGACGCAGGCTTCCCGACCACCTTCTTACCACCAGCAACTACACCACTAACAGCCTTACCCACAGATGGAGACGCCTTCACCAACGCAGGCTTCTTACTCGCCGGCTGCTCGTCATCACTAGAATCAGAATCCGAGCTCGACGGAGCGGCCGCAACTTTCTTCTTCTGCACAGACTGAGCAGCACCTTGTGGGACAACTCCCATCCCCGTCTTAACACCACTACCAACTACACCAACAGGCTTCTTCGCTGATCCTGCATTACCCTCATCACTCGAATCCGAGTCCGAACTCGACGACGCAGGCTTCCCGACCACCTTCTTACCACCAGCAACTACACCACTAACAGCCTTGCTCACAGATGGAGACGCCTTCACCAACGCAGGCTTCTTACTCGCCGGCTGCTCGTCATCACTAGAATCAGAATCCGAGCTCGACGGAGCGGCCGCAACTTTCTTCTTCTGCACAGACTGAGCAGCACCTTGTGGGACAACTCCCATCCCCGTCTTAACACCACTACCAACTACACCAACAGGCTTCTTCGCTGATCCTGCATTACCCTCATCACTCGAATCCGAGTCCGAACTCGACGACGCAGGCTTCCCGACCACCTTCTTACCACCAGCAACTACACCACTAACAGCCTTGCCCACAGATGGAGACGCCTTCACCAACGCAGGCTTCTTACTCGCCGGCTGCTCGTCATCACTAGAATCAGAATCCGAGCTCGACGGAGCGGCCGCAACTTTCTTCTTCTGCACAGACTGAGCAGCACCTTGTGGGACAACTCCCATCCCCGTCTTAACACCACTACCAACTACACCAACAGGCTTCTTCGCTGATCCTGCATTACCCTCATCACTCGAATCCGAGTCCGAACTCGACGACGCAGGCTTCCCGACCACCTTCTTACCACCAGCAACTACACCACTAACAGCCTTGCCCACAGATGGAGACGCCTTCACCAACGCAGGCTTCTTACTCGCCGGCTGCTCGTCATCACTAGAATCAGAATCCGAGCTCGACGGAGCGGCCGCAACTTTCTTCTTCTGCACAGACTGAGCAGCACCTTGTGGGACAACTCCCATCCCCGTCTTAACACCACTACCAACTACACCAACAGGCTTCTTCGCTGATCCTGCATTACCCTCATCACTCGAATCCGAGTCCGAACTCGACGACGCAGGCTTCCCGACCACCTTCTTACCACCAGCAACTACACCACTAACAGCCTTGCCCACAGATGGAGACGCCTTCACCAACGCAGGCTTCTTACTCGCCGGCTGCTCGTCATCACTAGAATCAGAATCCGAGCTCGACGGAGCGGCCGCAACTTTCTTCTTCTGCACAGACTGAGCAGCACCTTGTGGGACAACTCCCATCCCCGTCTTAACACCACTACCAACTACACCAACAGGCTTCTTCGCTGATCCTGCATTACCCTCATCACTCGAATCCGAGTCCGAACTCGACGACGCAGGCTTCCCGACCACCTTCTTACCACCAGCAACTACACCACTAACAGCCTTGCCCACAGATGGAGACGCCTTCACCAACGCAGGCTTCTTACTCGCCGGCTGCTCGTCATCACTAGAATCAGAATCCGAGCTCGACGGTGCGGCCGCAACTTTCTTCTTCTGCACAGACTGAGCAGCACCTTGTGGGACAACTCCCATCCCCGTCTTAACACCACTACCAACTACACCAACAGGCTTCTTCGCTGATCCTGCATTACCCTCATCACTCGAATCCGAGTCCGAACTCGACGACGCAGGCTTCCCGACCACCTTCTTACCACCAGCAACTACACCACTAACAGCCTTGCCCACAGATGGAGACGCCTTCACCAACGCAGGCTTCTTACTCGCCGGCTGCTCGTCATCACTAGAATCAGAATCCGAGCTCGACGATGAATACTTTTCAACTCTTTGTGCATCGGTATTTTTGTATTTTAGTAGTTGTTTTTTTGAGCTTTCTGATTTATCGTTCATGATTCCTTTGCTTCTGTTGAAGTCTGATTTATGTTCATTTGTCTGAGTTTCATTTTCGGTTTTTCTATTAAGTCTAGTCGATTGCAAATTTTTCAGTATGCAGTTTTCAGTCGGTATCGTGTGTTTAGGTTTTTTATTGTGACTGTTCTCTTTACCTTCATACTGATTTTTTCCATTCATACTTATAGCTCCAGCTCTCCTGAGATTTATCGTGTTCTAATTGCTATTTGCCTTTTCTATATTTTTAAAAGTTTTAATTAAAATTGTTTGATGAGGTTTATACTAATTTAAGCGATATATGTGACGAAAATGATAAGCTTTTCTAAGCTATTTATTATTATTAAACATCCTGAGTAGAAGCTTCCTACTTTAAGGTACTATGTACAAGCTTACTTCTTGTACGTTCATTTAAAATAATTATTCAAGACAGCAGTTGGTTAATCCTATGTAGCTATTTCCATTATTAGTATAAAAATCGCTCGAACATTATTTAACCACCATTTAACAGTCAGTAACTGATATCAAAATAATGTCTAATTTAATATGTATTGAGATATGGATACTAATTACGTGAAATGACGAATCAGCTCTAAGGGATAGAAGTGGAGTTATCTAACAATTAAAACATAAACGTAATATTGCTAAGTGGCAATATCCTCTGTATTATATTCCAGTGAGCGGAACTGTGCTATGACACGGATGCAATAAACTTTAACTCGGCGAGACTCTAATTTACGGACGAGTCAATCAGAAGCGTTTGGGGGGATTTCAAGGTTACGGCGCCAACTTCAGTCCCTAATGCTAACGTACGATGGGTTCACATGGAATTTTGTACAAAAAGTGATAATTTAGCGGCTATAACAAATAAAACGGCGAGACTATGACTTGTGGACGAACCAACCAGGTATAAGATAACAGATCTTGGATTTCGGTGCGGAAGTCTTTTATTCATTTGCCTAAATAGGTTTCTGGCATTATAGCTGATGTCATTTCGTGATGAAAATCCCATATACAATTCCTGAAGCAAATTATGACAATTATCGCGGAATGGATAATAAAAGCACCAGTAACACTGAATTGGGCTGGGTACTACAATATATACGGATGTTTGGAGAGCGTACAGACTCCTACATAGGCTTGGTTATGTGCATCGTGTCGTTATCCACAGGTGGCATATTGTGTACTCAACAACTGAAGTGCACATAAACAATATTGAAACAATGTGGTCGAGGCTGACAGTTTTTGAGGCTATCATGGCTCCAGAGGCCGACTTTTCTGTAGCCGTATGGATGGTTTCCTCCACTGCATGGATTACGATTTTAGAACCTCTGAACCTATTTCCAACCTTGACAAGTTCTTGAACCACCTATAGGAACTGCATCCACTTTATTTCCTTGGTTTTGTATCATATACTTTCACTCTACACTTACTGTCTGCTGACTGGCTAGCATTCCCAAAGTCACTTTTAATTCGTTCAAAGGTCGTCCATAAATTAGAGTCTCGCCTTTAACTCTTGATTTTTGGTACGTCACATTAGTGTCTACTAGTACAGTTTTTGACTACATTGGAATTTAGAAAGGCTTCAAGGTTGGTAAAATGAGCAGAAAGATGTAACTGTGAGTCTAGGTTCGGATGAATACGCACAGTCCGTAACTGACTGCATATGACATTCCTAGTTCGGCCCTAATAACTGATATCGACTTCTCGACAGCTCTCATCTTGAAGTAAATTTTTAATTGCTTTCCCTGTAACTTGAAGATTGAGGCAAACATTTGCTATTTCGTTGGCAATTTCTTATATCAGATTACGAATTCTACGTTTAGCTCTTTTAGTTCCTCTGATATGAGACCAACGATTTTCTACAAACAGCTCGGAACATTCCGAACGAATCAAACTACCTGTCACGCATAAAACAGGCAATAGATCTTTGCACTCATGTTTGTATATGAAAGGAGATTCGGATAAAGTAATTTAGTGTCTTGTTGGAATGTGGACTACTACCTACAAAATTTTTGGCTTCGGAACACCCATGAGCTTTACATGGAGAAAAAGCAATATCTTTTAATAATCACGGGAAGGATCAGCATTAAAATAAACGATAGGTCAATAAGCAGATATACTGTACACTTTACTAACCGATGAACCGAACACAATAACTACTTACCGTTAGCCCGAACACGAAACCACGCATAACACTTTAAAGTGCCCTCCACACTCATATGACCATTAAAACACATCGGATGGCTAAAAGGCTGATTGCTAGAAAAAAGATCAAGATCAGTAATACTATGTTTTGAAGGAACCCTTTTTCTTCAGTATGAGTTGGTGTCGGATGTTTAAACAAATTAGCAACTTGGTTTTTCTACTATACAAAATAATCTGATACAAATGGTTTAAATGCTTCCAGTGCTTGACTACTCGCGGAGAATGAAAGGCGTACCTGCAGTCAAATGGGCTATGGTGTGCATCTAGTTTCTGGATTTTGCCTCTAGACTGATGCCGCCAACCACACCCTTCAACCTTGCACGCTCTTGGCGATCGACACTTTCGATACATAGTTTGCCTTCAAACAGACATTACATAGCTTGCACCTAAGAACGGATTGCTTGCTTACTCTAACATTCTCATCTTTAAACTTCTGTCATTGATCTAAACAATGATTCCTTTTAGCACTCCAAACAAGATGAACTACATAAGGAAACATTGTCATCATTAGTACTCGGATACAATATCTTCGCTGCATTATATTCCGCACCAGTTTTTTCATTTAAAACATCAGTATCCTTAATTCCACCATTGCCACCGCAGTTGATAAGTAGGCCATATCTTGTATTAACTACATCAGCTTGTTCCTTTACAAACTTAGTAAGATCAGCACACCTCATCTGATAATCTTATAATCCACCTTTAGCCACTTTCATTGAACATGCTTTGGTAATTTCAGAATCGTAGTTTCAATTGTTCAGGAAGAGTTTAAGTCAGAAACCTAATTTATCTGTTCGAGAGTCAGACCACTTGCATTCATTTCTCGAGACAATTGTAGATCACCAACGTAGATGATCTATGTCGAAATGATTGGAGGCCTACTCGAGTTAGGCGTGAATGGCGTGACAAACTAGCTAGCGTTGAAGTCACACTTCGCGGTCAGCACCTTACGTAGATTACCTCATTGACGTATCAAGGTACTGTAGATACTTTGAAGACTGTACAACACAGAGGACGTTATTACAGAAATATATTAGTTAAAGTAGATACAAGCGAAGGTAAAACCACTGCCGCATGGGCCAGTCCATGGTGTACGATTAACTGATGCGTGTTGGTTACCCTTGACATTGACGAGGATCGATGATTTGTTCGATATTCAATGACCCAACTACGGATGACTTGGCTAGGGCTCAGTGGAATTTCACTGGCCCTACAAAATCTTCTCAAACCACCTGGTTGATTCCTTCTTATATTGGGAAAGTTTAACGAATTGTCGATAAACGTGCGTGCCTTAACTCATTTTTGGCCAAAAGCCTTAGTGCTTGACGATAACCTATCTCCGGTTCAAGCACAGTACAATGAGGGATAGTGGCTCTCGATCCCCCCGCCACAATATTGAATCAAGTAGTTAAACGTAGCTCTAAATCCAATATTTTCACTACGGATGCATTACTCGAAATTTTTTATAAGAACCTAATAATTTATCGGTGAACCATCGAATTTCGAGGATTCTCTTTTCGGTAATTACAGTCGAAACCTTCACTTCTCTGGCGACGTAAATTTTCTGGTTTGATTTCTTTCTCTGACTGGGTTATATATAACCTAGCTTACTCAAGTTCTATCAGGCTACTGGTTTTGGGTTCATCATTTTCAAGTTGGTCTCCGTCATAATCTCCCAGATGATGGAGTAATAACTGAGAAATCTAATCAGAATTGTAGTACTTATTAGAAGTTATTTCAGTAGGTATATCGAGTTTGCTGTTCGAAACTTTGTAATTAGTAACTTCTTACAGGTGTGATTTCATACTATTCCCTAGACCGTCGAGCACAGAGTCTTAGCTTAGTTAAAGTTAGAACAAGTAAGCTATCTGACTTGATAAACTTTATCTGTTTCTAAAACGTAAATTAACGCTGTTAGTATATAAAATGAGCAATACAGTCTATTAAACAGAGAAATGGAGAGACATGAATAACGTACCGAAGAGTAACTACAGAATAGGAAAAACATGTCAACAAAGCGAATATTGTTTTACAATGAACATAAAAATGTGACTGGTGACTAAACAAGGTATAGTTATACAAGATCAAACTAAATTAATGTGATGGTGAGAGTTCCATGTTATCATTGGAGAGTTTGTTCGTCTATCACACTTTACAGAAGTATTAATATCCCTTTGGAGTGGAAGAGGAAGTGCTTCATTTCTGTACTATAAATGAAGCAAATTTCAACGACTAACTAGAAAGCCCAACTGTTAAAACACGCCTCACAGTTACAGTGTAAGATTTGTTCAAAAGACATTTCCATCACAGTTATTATGACAACTCTAATCGTAGAGCTCTGAGATAAGTGGGTGCTTTTCAACCTAGGTAACCCCTAGGGGGAATAAACTTGTTTGTATGTACAGTCTGTAACATATCCCAAACGAAACACCTTACACTTTGAAATGTTGTAAGCAAATTGTGGTCCACTTCAATTTGAAGTCGAATCAGATCGCATTTCGTTTATATAAATTAAAAGAAGAAGAGAGCGTAGCGTTGATTCTTAAGGGATCTTATTAGAATATTCTGTAGCCACTGAGTAGCTCAATAGTCTCCTAAACATGAAAAGCAAACCCCAATGCAATAATAAGACAGACTCACCACTGAATTTTTATTTCAACTGAATCTGAAACCAATGTGCCAAATTATTATAGTTATGAAAGAAACGCCTGTTGTGTTTCGTTGATGTGAAACGATCCCATTAACGTCCGTATCCTATCAACAACAGCTGTCTTTCAGCAGTGATTCAAGAAAATGTCAATAAGTTTCAGTGGTCAAATTTTTTTCTGAATGAAGTTACCGTCAAGTTTACTGAGATGAAAAATGCCTAACTTTGATCTTAATATTTCATAAATAGGCCATGCAACCTTTCTGAATCGCTTATGATTTGATTGTGCAAGGTGATAGAAACACACCAGGATTCTGATAAGTAAAAAGAGAAGAATATTGGT